CGGAACCAGGTAAGCACTCTGTTGGAGAGCCTTATTGATCATACACTTATAGTCCGCACAGATGCGGACAGACCCATCAGGCTTAATGGGGGTCACAACTGGGATCTCCCATTCGGCATGATTGACTGGCACTAACACCCCCTGCTTTATCAATTTGTCCAGTTCCACGTCGATCTTGGGTTTTAGGACGAAAGGTACCCTCCTGGGTTTCAGCTGGATGGGGGCAATATTGGGGTCAATTGAATGAAATAGGGGTCCCCACATAATTGCCGAGCCGCTTATCGAACACATCCTGGAATTCCTGCATCAGGTCGTCCTTCAGGGTGCTTTGCACATTGCGGACTCCGGTGAATCCCATGCCCAGGGCTCTGAACCAGTCCATGCCCAGGAGGCTTGGGAGCTTTCTGCTGACCACGGTGAGGGGAAGCTTCTCCCAGAATTCCCCATACTCCACCTGGAACTCGCTGATTCCTTCCACGGGGATGCGATTCCCCTGGTAATCGCGCAGTCCCAGCCGCTGTTGCCGTAGTTGCCATCTCTGGATGCTGGGGATGGCCTTCTTTAGCTTGTCCCAGGACATGATGGTAATTGGGGATCCGGTGTTGATCTCCATTACGCACTCATGTCCCTCAAATTCAAACTGCCCACCCAAAATCTACATACATAACACTATCTATTATGGAAAGTTGCAAGCTTTTCCATCTCTCCATATCCAGTTTAATTTGATGCATTAATTTTGTGTAGTTGTCCTCTTTGATTGTTATACATCTTACTGTTAGATAGATTCCTAAGTATTTCAATTTTTACTATCTGGATATTCATTTCCTTTATTAATTCAACCCTCTGTTTATTTGTAAGATTTTTAACTATCATTTTGGTTTTTTCCTTATTTATTTTTAGTCCAGCAACCTCTCCATATTCCTCTAATTTCTCTGTGAGTCTCGGCCTGATTCTAATGTTTCCTCTAAGATGAAAACTAAATCGTCTGCAAGTGCTTATAATTTGTACTTTTCTCTTTTGATTTCCATTCCTTTGATTTGCTCATTTTGCCTGATGTTTCTGGTTAGTACTTCCAGTGTTAAGATAAATAACAATGGAGATAATGGGCAGCCTTGCCTTGTACCTTTTTGAATTGAAAAATTTTCAGTCACGTCACCATTCACAATCACTTTGGCTTTCTGCTTTGTGTATATTGCCTTGAACATATTTATAAAGTTATCTCCAAAATCCATTATGTCTTAATTGTTGTAACATGAATTGCCAGTTCACATTATCAAATGCCTTTTTGGCATCAAAAAACAACGGTGCCAATTGCTTTTCACTATGCGTTCTGTAATATTCCAATGTATCTAATATTGTTCTCTTATTTCTTATCTGCCGTTTGAGTAAGGAGCCATTTTGGTCAGAGTGTATGAACTCTTTCAAAAAAACTCTTCAGTCTTTCTGCTATTATTGAGGTGAATATTTTATAGTCAGCATTTAGTAAGGATATGGGTCTATAGTTTTTTATTTGCATTAAGTCTGAATCCTCTTTTGGTATCAAAATAATGTTAGCTTCCACCCATGATGGTGGTATCTTTGCTTCACATAGGACTGCATTGTATACCTCTAATAATGAGTGACAGAGAGTATTTTGTAGCTCTTTATATATTTCTGCTGGTAGCCCATCTGGGCCAGGTGTTTTGTTATATTTTTGTTTAATTGCCTCTGCTAGTTCTGTCATTCTTTTCCTCTCGTTCAGCATAGATTTCATTGCTCCTGGAACCTTAGGCAAGTTAGCTTTTTCCAGGTATTGTAATATTTTTTCTTCTGGATGTTGCCCATCATCATCATATAGCCGTGATGGCGAACCTATGGCACGCTTGCCACAGGTGACATGTGGAGCCATATTAGTGGGCATGCCAGCTCAGCTCTGGGGTGCATGTGCGCACCGGCCAGCTGATTTTCGGGCCTTCTGGGCCCACCAGAAGTAGGGAAACAGGCTGTTTCCTGCCTCTGGAGGGCCTGGAGGCGGGGTGGGGAAAGCCCGTTTTTCTTTCTTACCTGGCTCCAGATCCTCTCTGTGTATCTGGGAAGGGCGAAAACAGCCTTTCCCACTCCCTTGGAGGCCCTACGGAGGCTGAAAGGGCCCATTTCCCGACTCACGGTGGGACAGGAAGTGACTTTTTTCCTGTCCCCAGCCTCCAGAGACTCCTAGAGAGGCTCCTACAGACTCTTAGAGAGGTTCCTACAGACTCCTAGAGAGGTTCTGGAGGCTGGGGACAGCAAAAAATGTCACTTCCTGTCCCACCGAAAGTTGGGAAATGGGCCCTTTCAGCCTCCGTAGGGCCTCCAACGGAGTGGGAAAGGCTGTTTTTGCCCTTCCCAGATACACAGAGAGGATCTGGAGCCAGGTAAGAAAGAAAAACGGGCCTACCAGGCCATCATGTGCCAGGAGCGGGGGGGAGGGGGTTGCGCACGCATGCTCATGGGCACATGCATGTGTGACCCTCCCCTACCCCCCCCCCTCTCCTGGCACGCGATGGCAAAAAGGTTAGCTATCACTGTCATATAGTTTCCTATAGAAGTCCTGGATAATATTCTTCTTTTCCTCAGTTTGATAACATAAAGTTCAATTTTTGTCTTGCAATTTACTTATCCATTTTTTCTTTCTCCTTTTTCAATTTGTAAGCTAGCCATCTCCCTGGTTTGTTTGCATTCTCAAAAAAGTTTTGTTTCATTCTTTTTATATGTTGCACCAGGTCTTTTTTTTAAGGATATTCAATTTGTGTTTAGTTGCTCCATTTGCTGTTTTAAATTTATTTTTTGTGGTTCCTTTTGTAACTCTGCTTCGATTCTTCTATATTTCTTCTTTCTTTGTTGTTGCTTCTGCCTTTTATTTTTCTTTGCTATAAATGTTATAGCAACTCCTCTCATATATGCTTCCGCTATATCCCATAGGTTTTGTAATGACGTATCTTCTTTCCTATTTTCTTTAAAGAAGAATCCCATTTGTTTTTCCAATGTCTGCCTAAATTCTGTATCATTTAATATCAATTGGTTCAGAGTCCATCTTGTACTTTTCTTTCATCCTTTCCAGCTGATTCTCATTGGATTGTGATCTGCCCATAGATTTGTATCTATTTCTACCCCATATACATTAGAATTTAATTCCATCGACATCCATACCATATCTATTCTGGACCAGGACTGGTGTCTGTTAGAATAAAATGTGTATTGGTCTTTTTCCTGGTTCTTCTCTTTCCATACATCTTTTTTTTTTTAATTTTTTATTGTAAACAAACATACACATATAGACATAAACATTAAAACAAACTAGACATAAACTAACTATACAGTGAAATCAAGTCACATAACTTGAACTTTGAAAGTAGAGTTACTTTGGTAATTGTATATCAATATGTCTATATATATTATCTTTCATCTTGTATCAATGTTTATATAACGATATTTCCTTTTATTTCCTTATTTTTGTATCATTGGGTGGTAGTCTCTTATTTCGTGTCTTTTTTATCTAGCCATTTGTACCATTCTTGCCAAATTAAGTAAAAGTCTGTATCTTCTTTTCCTTGTATTTCTTTGGTCAATTTGTCCATTTCTGCACATTCCATAATTTTTTGTATTATTTTTTCTTCTGGTGGCGTGTTTTCCAATTTCCACATTTGTGCGAAAACGATTCTAGCTGCAGTTAGGATGTGTATTATCAAGTATTGTGTCTCTTTTTTATAGTCCTTTGTCAGTATACCTAATAGGTAAGTTTCCGGTCTGAGGGGTACTTTTTGGGCGGTAATTTCTTCCAGCTGACTTTGAATTGTTTTCCAAAATTTTTTGACTTTGGGGCATGACCACCACATGTGGTAGTAAGTCCCCCTCTTTCCATACATCTTGTATGTTTAATTCTTCTGCCATTTTAAAGAAGGTTCTAGGTAGAATCCTTCTTACTCCTTTCCTTGTTCTATTACTTTTATAGTCCAATTTTTTGTTTAGTATTGTATTGAAGTCTCCTAGGAGACAAAGGTTATCACACTCCATATCACGTATAGTATTATGTAGATTTTTATAAAATTGTTCTTGCCCACTATTTGGTGCGTAGATTGCAACTAGGAGTACCCTCTTTTGATTTAGTGTTACTTCCGCAATCAGGATCCTTCCCTCTTCATCATTATATATTTGGTTAGCCTGAATTGTTTCTTTAACAAATAACACCACTCCCCTCTTTTGTTGTGATAACGACACAAATAGTTTCTCCAATTTAGAATATTCCAGTAGTTGTTTGTTTTTCTTTTATATGGACTTCTTTTAGTGATAGTATGTCTAGATTCAATCTTTGTAATTTATTGAAAGATTTCTTCTTTTTCATGGGTGAGTTCAATCCATTGATGATTAATGATACTATCTTAAGATCTTCTTGCATTGTTCTTGTATATCTGGTTTCTGAGTACACATAATGATTAAAGCAACAATAATAAGCTTAATTCCATTTCAAAATAACTCTTTGTGTGGAAAGACCTCAAATGAGCACCAACTAAAAATCATCATATTGAAGGCTTCCATACAAGTATTTGTTTTGAAAAAAGTATAATCTATCTTGCAAACTTGGGGGAGATTATGAACTACCGTGAAGTTACCAATAGTACCAACATTTTTCTAAATATACATTTCAGAGTACTTTTAGATCAAAGCAAGATATGAATGCATGTTTATTGCCAGAAAATAAAGCAAAACCACCTTTTTCTAAATCAAATAATATTCAACTTCAAAAAGAAAGTTAACTTGCATGCAACCTGATGCTGTAAATAGTTAAAAATAACTATTGTTATATTATATAGTGTTTATTTTACAAATATAATTCGGATTACAGTCTTATAGTTAAATCTTTAAAACATTTCTACCAAAATCTCATAAAGTCAAATGAAATCTTAAGCATATCATCAAGCTGCTTGTTTTACCCCACAGAGAAAATACGTTATAAAATAATGCAATTTCATGAAAAATCAAACTAAGCCTCAGTAAATTACAAGATTTAATTTCCTTAACAGTATAATATACATTTGTCCCAGTTTATTTGCTGAATTTGGCTGTCTTCTATTACCTAACACTTCTAAAGAAGGAATACATAATTTTCACAGTGAACCTTGAATATTATAATTCAATTAATTAGGAATATATCTCACCAAGAGTATCTACTTTTAAAAATATGTACGGTGAGATATATTCCTAATTAATTGACCAAAGCCCAACTGAACTAACAAAATTGTTCTTCCAGTTTTTCCACCTGAGAGTCCAAAGTCCTAATTCAACTACAGTAATAATTAGTAATAATTTTGTAACCACAATTAACTAATGACCCAAAATGCATTTACAGTTCCAAAGTGCACGTGTCATATTCAAAAGAGTTCATATGAACATTATGATGCAAATAAGAAGATAAGCAAATCTATTTGTATACTTCTCTCCATAACTTTCCCTCATTTGACTGGGAAGCAATTAGAAAAAAAATGGATTATTATTCTGAACAATTTCAGAATAATGTGCAGAAACTTGCTATCACTTAAATTACATAATGTATGACTATTTTTTAATTTATCCAGGTTGAACCCTAATTTTCCAAATTTAATTTAGAATTAATAATCTGAATCTAACTGAATGTACACTTAGTTGGCAATTGTCTCAAAGAGGTTTTTAATAAATGAGGTAGGGGGCTTTAGGCTAAATATGCTTATTATAAATTACATACAACCATGGGTTCTGCACACAATGTACTCCTCATCTGCAATCTACTAATGGTAGAATTCTTGTTACTATAAAAAGGGATAAAACAAGAGGTTACACCAGAAATTAGACAGCCTTATCCCTCTGGCATCTCCTAGATATGCGGGAACTGTTGAATTCTATGTCATATTAGGTTGGAAAAGGCAGCTTTATCAATCTTTTCAAAGATTTGATTTACCAAATCAGAAGAATAAAATAATCCATCATTCCACAGTGTATTTTATATTGAATGTTGAGGATAAAGAGAGGCCCCAGCGCTCTGCTTCTTCCTCTATTTGATTTGTACTTGCAAAATCACTTATAGAAAAATACCATGCAAAGTCTGGACACTTCAGCAAAGAAAATCGGTATTAATGTTTGAACAAATGTACATAAGAAACCACACAGTATCTCTAATCTCTAACCATACAAACACACACTATAAAAGAGTACCTGAAATTCATCCATCAAGTACTGTTAGCAAATTTAAGTATTGCCAAAAAGTTTCTTTTTAGTAAATTTAGTAAATTTACATTTGCAAATACAATTTGTATTTGTATACAAATGACTTACAACTACTGCAAAATGCACTGGACTTCTGTGTGCATTGCTAAAATATTGACTTAAGAGAGTTTCTTTTTAAATATATAAAGCAAATACACAGGTTTTGGTCATTTCCTTCAGATATGAGTTTGAGCACATTATAAATATACCTATAAAGTCTCTTACTACACTAATTAGAAGCAGGTATAGGTTGTTTTTTTAAAAGAATTACTGACAAGAAATCAATCCAGTTTGAAGATTTCTACCTAACTCCAGCCTTCTACATCCAACATCAAGAAGTTGGCTTTAATATAATAATTTACAAAATAGATTCCTTTTAACATTACAAAAAAACAATCAATTTATAGCAAGATTCCCAATCCAGAGCCCAACGATAAAACTGGGATGACATCGGACCAGATAAGGGAAGAAGGCAGTCATTTCGCTGCAGCTGATGTCGAGGTGGGGACACTCCTCCGGTGCTCCATGCCGTTGGGCAAAAAGCCGGCGATGATGGGCACCGGCCAGATGAGGGCAGCCACGCTCCACACGATGATGACCAGAGTCATGAAACAGGCCACCAGGGTGGACTCGATGGGCTTGCGATTCATCCTCCAGCCGGGATCTCCCTTGAGATCCTCCAAGCTGAAATCCAGACAGCAGAAGTGGAGTCGCTCCCCTTGCTGCCAAGGCTGGTCCGGAGTAGACCAGGAGTAGAGGGCAGCCGAAGGAGGAGCCGACGCGGCTGGGTTGGAGGCGCCCGGGCGAAGGCGGCCGACGCGCCTACCTCGCGCCCAGCTGCAGCCCACGCATAGGCGGAAGTCCTGCTGTACACCACCAGCTGCCAGCGCAACATGCTCGATGAGCAGCGGCGGCCCGACTCGATAAAAGGCGGCCGAGAAAAAGGCGCGTCCGCCGGGGCCGTTCGTGGAGAAGAGCACGAGGTCACACTGGAAGCCCAGCGGGCTCCAGCGCACCAGCAATGAGCTCAGCATGTGTCTCTGCACGCTGATGTTGCACGCCTGCTCCTCTCGGGGCTGCTGCTCCTGCTGGGGCGCGGAGCGCAGTGGCTCGGGTGAAGGAGTAGCTACAGCCGCCGCCTTGGTGGCCTCTTCTCGCCCTTCCTCAAAATCGGTCGGAAACGCGCCCCAGTTTACAAAGGACTTGGGGGATGAAGAGGAATTGAGGGGCGGCAAGGAGAGTCTTGTCGGTTCCTTTCTTCCGGACTCTGAAGAAGCCGAGGGAGACCAGCCTCGGCAGGGAAAGGATGGAGCGAAAACGGCCAACAGCGCCGGGAGAAAGGTCAGCAGCATGGCATGGGCTTAGAGGAGTGCCCGTGGAAGGGAACGAGGTTGCACGGCGCTGCAGCGGCGACGGATGTCGGTTTCCATTTAGGAAGCGCGAGCTAGGTTGGCCGCCAGAAAAGGGAGTGGCGGGGAGGAGGTGGAGGCAAGGCGGTCGCGGTCGAGAGATGAAGTGAATGCGCGCGTGGGGGCGAAGAGAGCAGAGCGCCAGAAACAGCGGCGGCAACAGTTCCCACTTTTCCTTCCCTTTGGTTTCAACTCTCAGCTGGGGCTGCCGCACCCATTTCGCTCTCAGCAACCAATGGACAACTTCTCTGAATTGCTATTTTTGCTGGATCACCGTCCAGGCAGCAGTTCGCTCCCTAACTCAGTCGCCGCCCAGGATTCCCTCTCGCTGCCTAACCTTATGAAGAAGTTTCCCTGATTTCGTCATTTCGCTCCCCCTCCCCAAATTGAAGCGTCTGGCACGGGGCTTCTCTCCGGGGAAAATAATCCTTATCCCTTGCTTCGTCTTTGATGTGTGGGATATCTTCTCTGCTATCCCAAAGGCCACTTCCACTCGCAGCTTTTTTTCTGTTGTTGAGCTTCCACTTCAGTTTTCAATCTGTTGAATTTATATTTCCAGTGGCTTGGGCTAACACATGGAGAGATGGATGGCCATTTAAATCAATCATGAAGAGAAGTGGCCTTGGTCTTCATATGGCTATTGGTGCTTGACCATTGCAATCCTGGATTTCTTCATTTTTTAATTAGCAGATACCATGTTTCTCTGAAAGTAAGACCCGGTTTTATTTTCTTGTGGTCTCCAAATAAGCACTAGGTCTTGTTTTCAGGGGAAGTCTTACCTGCTTACCTTAGGATCACTGCAGCCAGGCCTCCAACTGGACTTTTCTTTTTTCTTTAAAGACGTTTCGCTTCTCATCCAAGAAGCTTCTTCAGCTCTGACTGGATGGTGGGGAATAGAAGGATTGTCTGCAAGGAATTTAAATCCTTCCATTCCCTACCTTCCAGTCAGAACTGAAGAAGCTTCTTGGATGAGAAGCGAAAGGTCTTCAAAGAAAAAACAGAAAGTCCAATTACCTCTTGAAAAAAGTTCCTTTGGGACATGAATACTAGCAGTTATCTCTTAAGTTACGGATATTGCAGTGATCCTGTGATCACATTATTAAAATCTGGGTGCTTCGCAGCCTAGTCACATTTATGACTACAGTGTGTGCTTCAGTTTTCCCCACCCCTCTGTGTTTTCCCCAATCTCTGCCCTTTTGGTTACCCTGCACTTCTCTGCATACCTCATCAATAGCAGAAGGAAGGTGAGTGTAGCAGGGTAGGAGAAGCATATGCTGGCATGATCCTTACCTAATGACCACAATGACTACCAGAACTGACATCACTAAGCAGCACAGCCATGTGATGTTTCACTTAATGATTGCTTCGCTTAATGATAGAAATTCCAATTCCAATTAGGATCATTAAGTGAGGATTACTGTAGATGCTAAGTGACTGGGCTCACAGCAATAACATAAAAAAATAACCTCCAAAAATTAATCTCCAAAGTACAGAAATTGATACAAAATAATCACAAGGTAGCACTTCAACATCAATGCAGATATTAAACATTATAAACAGGGCTGATACCCAGGTCATCCAGGTAGGAACTGTATGGTTCGGGGGGAGGGGGCGGGACACCTCATTCCAGAGGATGGATATTGCAACGGAGAAGACATGTTTTCTAAGACTCTCAAAAATGTACTGTTTAAATATGGGGACTCAGATCTCGCTGGTACATTTTTCATAATGTATCCTGATTGTCCTGAATCACTATCAACTATAGGTATATTTGGAATTTGGGTCACATGTTTGCATTTCATTTCACAAAATGATATCTGGAAAAATATGTAATGTCAGAGATTTCAAAACAGCAGTTTGATGAATGCTGGAATAATTTATCAACCTATTCATGCCTGTATACATTCCTAGCCTTCCATTAACTTATGAAGTCCAATTGCTGAATTCTCTCACTATGTTTGTGTGTATGTATGTGTGAATGAACTAGATATACACAAAGGGAAATTTGACACAACCCGCTTGCTATAACATAAAAATGACTCTTCTGCTGCTTCCTGATATCTCCACCTTTGTCTCAGTGATCTTCTGTAAGAAGAATATAATAAATTAACATGCTCTGGAGCTGGTTAGAGTTAGGGTTTGGCTCGGCCAAAGTGCAGCGAAGGCACGTGGGGTGGGCAGGTTGACAGCTGACGGGCGAATGTCTTTGGTGAAGGTGCTTCGACTTTTTCTGAGCCTGATCCCTAGGGTGGGTGTGCGAGGTTCGGCAGGGCCAGCCCCCTTTTCCCACTGCTCTGACTTCTTGACAGTTGAGCAGTGCTGGCAGCGGTGTTGAAGTGCTTGGCCCTGCAGTGCTTCCCCGCTCAGTTGAAGCCTTCATTCAAACAGTAAGGCTGGCCGTGGAATCGGAATCAGCTGGGTTCAGGAACCAACGCTGTCCGTGGCCCTGGTGCCCTGCTCACTTGCATATACCAGCCTTACTGTTTGAAGGCTAAACAAAGCCTTCAACTGAGTGAGGAAGCACTGTGGAGCCAGGCCCTTCACATTCACACCCAGCCTGCTGGAGTTCGCTGCGCTGGGGCAGGAATGAGACCCTGTCCCGTGGAGCCTACTGCTGCTAGGACAAGGAGGACAACGATGAAGACAAGGAGAAAAATGGTGAGGCTTTGCACAAGCCAGCAAGGAGCAAGTCAGGTGGGGCTCGCTGGCTGGTTCAGGAGGGGCCAATCATTAGGTGGCTGCCACTGCCAGCAGCTTGAATGCCACGACTGAAGCTGGAATTTGCTGCGCTGGGGGAGAAATGACAGGCCCAGCAGGACAGCTGCTTTAGTGGGGAATGGGGAGGATGACAAGAAAATGGCTGGTCAATTGGCTCTCCCCCCCCCCGCATTTGCCAGCAGCTTGGGTGACTAACTTAAAGCAGGGATCACACTCTCTCATACACACACACAGTTTGGAGAGCCCCCCCTCCTCTCTCTCTGTCTTGTTGTGGTGGCAGTTGCCTTGCTTCAGTGCCTGGCTGGCAGGGTGCTCAGGTAAGGTGGTGCGGGGCATTGGGGAGCAGCTCCGCACCCCCTCACCTTGCTTTGTATTCAAACCCCACCCCCCACCCCCGCCTCACTGCTTAGGTGTCACCCATGCCATTGCCAGCAGTTTGAGTGCTCTGGCTGAAGTACGGATCACTCTCTCTTCCACACACACATACATACACAATTGGATTGCGCTCGCTCTCTCTCTCTCTCTCTCTCTCTCTCTCTCTCTCTCTCTCTCTCTCTCTCTCTCTCTCTCTCTCTCTCGTCCCATTTGCATGCAAGCTTGCTCCATGGGAGATCTCATTAAATAGTTAAGTGGAAAGTAGTTGGGGGGAGGGGAGTCATAGGAGACCGGCAAACACTTTTCAAGTGGAGAATAAAAGTTTCTGGGGCCCTGATTCTCTGCAAAAGAGGATGGGTGACTGAATCTGCATGATATAGCACCCAGGAGCATACATTCTTGACACAAAAAGCATTTCCCAGCCAGCTCTCCTCTCCCTTCCTCAAAGGCAAAGAAACAGAAACAAGAGAGGAGACAGATGTTTGCAAGGTAAGTGAGTCCTTGTGGCAGGAAGGGAGAGAGAAGCATGAGGTATCTTAATAGGTTGGGGAGGCCTTGAGGGCCTGTTCTTTCACTAGAACGCCCCCCCCCATGGCCTTCCCCACCCTGAGATACCTCATGTGCACATTGGTATTTTTGAATTGTGAGCTCTCAGGAAAGTATCCCCTCCATGTGTGTTGCAAACAGCTATTTCCAGTGGGGAAAACAGGACAAAACAGTTGGGGAAAATAGTTTCCTTTGCTACATTTATTTATTTATTCATTTGTTGGTTCGATTTATATGCCGCCCTTTTCCAGAGGCTCAGGGCGGCTTACAATGCGTTAAGCAATAGCCTTCATACTTCTGTATATATCTGCTTAGTAGGGCTTTCGCGCCCCCCCCCCAAGCGGTGTTCTTTTTTATACAAAGTCAGCTTATTGCCCCCACAAACCGGGTCCTCATTTTACCTACCTTGAAAGGATGGAAGGCTGAGTCAACCTTGAGCCTGGTGAGATTTGAACTTGCAGTAATTGCAGGCAGCTGGTGTTACTTAACAGTACTTAACAGTGCTTTAGTCTGCTGCGCCACCAAGGCACCAGTCTGAATTAGACCATGGCAGGGTTCCTATAGGAGAGCTCTTTTAAGGAGTATGTACTGTATCAATAGAGAAGTAACTAATTTACCTCTGTTCTTAATTGCTAAAGCTGTTGCACATAAAAAACAGAGGAGCTCTTATCAACTATCAGAGCCATCATTTTGATAGTTTTGCTGTACTGTAGTCTGTGGGCGCACCCATGGAATGCAAGCATGGGATAAACTGAGCCTGGTTTGTTCTCAAGTCTTTTAAGTGGCCACAAACTACTAGCAAAAGTGTCATTTGATTACAAGGTGAGGAGGCATCAAGAAATACTTCTCCTTTTGCATTTGAGGATCCAAGAAGGGACAGGAAAGACAAAGAAAAAAAAGGAAAGAGGGGAAGAGAGCAAGGAAGCAGAAAGAAGGAAAGAGGGGAAGGAAGGAGAAAGAATGAAGAGGGAAGGAGAAAAAAGGGAGGGAAGGAAGAAAGGAGATTATAATGAGAGAGAGCGATGGTCTGAGGTAAATCCTGCCTTAGCACTTGATCACCAGCAGCCCTGCTGCCTTTTGCCATCCCCTTGTCCCCTCCTCCTGACTGCTCCTGGTGGTCTCCCATCCTATCACTGAGGATGCTTTGGTTACAAAGCCAGGTCTCCTCATAAGAAGAGGGAGTGGGCTTCCCTCTGACCCACATACTTTGCCCTCCCACACACACCATGAGCAACCTGGCCAAGGAGAGCGAGCACCACAGCAGTGGGAGCTGGCCCACCACGGCCACCATGGTCATACCCACCCCAGCCCCCAAAGTGAACCACAATCTTAATGCTGCCCTCATTGAAATTGAGTTTGACACCCCTGAACTAACAGATGACCTCAGTGCTGCATATGTTGATCTCAAACTTACAAAATTTGAAAAATTATCAGCGGGCATACAACAGCAAAAGTCATATTAATCAAAAGCATGCCAAATGCAAACTTTTATCTTTCAGTAAAAAGTTGTTTGATTCATTGAAATCTCAGGGTTTTTTTTTTTCAGAGACAAAATGTTAATTATGTATGAGTTGTTTTTTCTAAACTAAACCTCATTATTCAGGTT